AAAGGGAACAGAAAACATCCATGCAGAGGGGACAGGAGCTGGAGGACTGGGGACAAGATGAACTTTAATATTCCTGCCAGCCCAAAGAAAGACACTCAGCCTCAGTCCAGCAACATAAAGAAAACTGTCATAGTATTAAGAGGAGGAGGAGGAGGAAGAGCAGAAGGAGGTTTTAACATGAGAGCTCACACTACAAAACTCTTCATGAAAACAGAGGAAAGCCTTCACGATTGTTGTGACCCTGGCTTTGCTTTCTTGGACATGACATAAGCATGGGCAACAGGGCCAGGATTTAGCTCAGTGGCTCCGCTGCCTGCCTCACAAGTACAAGGACCCAAATTAAATCCCTGATTAAAAAAAAAAAAGTGACGCTTCAGGCTGGGTAGGGTAGTGCATGCTTCTAATCCTAGCACTGGCAAGGATGAGGCAGGAGGATCGCTGTGGGTTCCAAGCCATCCTGAACTACACAGGGAGACTTTGTCTCAAAAAGCAAGCAAGCAAGCAAACAAACAAACAAGTGAAGACTCAGTATATTAACCTACCTTTGGTTCTGTGTTTGATATCAGATTCAGCTTCATTCTCCGCTATTTCGTTTTCATTAGTGGAAATGACATCCAATTCATGGCAAATGGAGCTACAAGTAGCAGAGTGAGAGAATTTTCAAGTTGGTTTCTGGTCAGCACTACCAAGTAAATGCTAGCACATGAATTCCGTAGACTTTCTGTGAAAAAATTATGTGGCCCAGCTCAGCATGTAGCTCAGTGATAACAAGAAACCATTTGCCTAGCATGCTAAGGCCCTGGGTTCAATCCCCAGGCTACAAAAAAAAAAAATGTCTATTTTTTGGTCTTTGAAAGTCTTATTGTAGTTTTTCATGCATGTTATTAAAGCTTATGAAATCTTTCTTTCCCCCTCAGGCCCTTGTGCTCACCAGGCAGGTGTGGCACCACTGAGCTACATCCCTGCCTCATTGTGAAATCTTATAGTAAAGAAAAAAATTTGTTTTGCAGTGGTAGAATTGAACCCAGGGCTTTACATATTCTAGGCAAGTACTCTATGATGGACAGATATCCTCAGCCCTAAGTAGATTTTTTTTTTTTGGTACCAGTGATCAAACTTGGGCCCTTGCACTTGCAAGGCAGGCGGTGGAACCACTGAGCCAAATCCCCGTCTCCCTAAATAGATTTTTTAATAGAGCCAGGCATGGTGGCACACACCTATAATCCCAGCACTTGGGAGGCTGAGGTAGGAGTGAGTTCAAGACCAGCCTGGGTTACACAGTGAGTTCCAGGGCAGTTTCAACTACAAAGTAAAACCTTGTCTCAAAAAACAAACAAAAAAAGCAAAACAAAACAAAAAAGATTTTTAATATACTCAAGTTGCCATTTCCCAGACTATTTTTGGTGCTGGGCACTGAATCCTGGGTCCTTACCACTATGTTATACCCTCAGCCCTCCCAGACTTATTTGATCTTAAAATCTTTCGTAAAATAGCTGAGTTTTAAACACATATTACTTATTATGGCATCATAATCTTAGAATCAAATATCCACATAACCAAATAACCATTCCTGTGTAGCTACCTTTCTAAGAAGGGATCCAATATAATCTATTTCAAATTCACATTCACAAAGAGTGATCAATGATCTGGAGCATACCTTATTGTTGGAACAGTAAAGGGGTCAAATTGATCTACTTTCTGTAAATCAATAGGCACAGAAATGCGACCTGTAAGAATCAGAAGTTATAAACTGATTATGGAACACTAATCATCATAGGTTATCTTCTATGAGTTATTTTTCGTTAAAATTTTATAGAGGGTTAATTTATCTGTTACTAAGAATATTAAATATAAATTACTTTCACATTGGTTGTACCTCTTATCTTAAACAAAAAACTTATGTGAAGAATGTTGAGCTATTTCCCAGTTATTTTTATTTTTATTTCCACATTTAGAAATAAGACACATTTTAAAATTCCAAGCTGTGTGTGGTAGCATATGCTTATAATGCCTGTGTTTGGGAGGTTGATACAGGAGGACAGCCAAGAGCTCAAGGCTAGTCTGGGCTACTGAGTGAATTCAAGGCCAGCCTGAACTATATAGCAAGACCTTGCCTCAAAAAAACAAAATAAAATTCCATATTTAAGTTCAGAAAATCTCAAATTTAGTGAGTCTATAAAATGTAATAAAATAGACGGATATAATTTATTACATTGCTTGGTTTATTTGCTGAGTTCAAAACAGACACCTACATGTTGGATATCTTTCTTTTCCCCCCATGTTGGACTTTTTTTTTTTTCTTGAAAGAAGGTCTCCCTATATAGTTCAGGCTGGTCTTGAACTCACTCTGGATCCCAGCTTGGCCTTGAATTTATGGTAATTCTCTTGCCTCAGCATCCAAGTGCTGGGATTACAGGGGGGCAGCACCATGTCTGGTTATGTTGAACATCTTATTTATTTAATATTTTTTGTACCAGGGATCTAACTGAGACCTTGTGCTTGTGAGGCAGGTGGCAGAAGCACTGAGCTAAATCCCCAGCCCTGAAAATCTTTTGAAAACATTTTGGAAATAAAATACGGTCATGTGCCATAATGACATGTTGGTTAACAATGGGCCATTCAGGGCCAGGGATTTAGCTCAGTGGCACCATGGCTGTCTCATAAATGCAAGGTACTGAGTTCAATCCCCAGTACCAACCACCCAAAAATTCCCCAAAATCCCAAAACAAAAAATGGGCCATCTGTATTATATTGTTTTGTGACATAACTGTCTTAAATCTGTGTAAGCACCATATATGCTGTGAAGCTTGTATAATGATGAAATAAATCAAGGATGTGTGTCTCAGAAAGTACCCCTGTTTAGTGAAGCACAACCTTTGATAACATATTATTCTTGTTTAATATCCAAACTTGGGGCAACATATTAAAATTTACATCTCAAAAATGATATAATAAAGCTGGGATGGTAATACACACCTATAATCTCAGCATTTGGGAAGCTGAGGCAAGAGGATTGCCTCAAGTTTGAGGACAACCTGGGTTACATAATGAGCTCAAGGCCAGCCTGAACTACATAATAAGACTATCTCAAAAACACACAAAAGCCACCATGCCTGTAATCCCAGCACTCGGGAGGCTGAGGCAGGAGGATCACTATGAGTTCCAGATCAGCCTAGGCTACATAGTGAGTTCCAGGTCAGTTTCAATTACATAGGGAGACCCTGTCTCAAAAACAAAACAAAACAAAACAAAACAAAAAAACACCCCAAAAAGATATAATAAACTGGGCACAGTAGTGCATGTCTGTTATTGCAGCTATTCACAAGGCTAAGGCACAGGGGCCAGTTTGGGCAACTTAGTGAGATCCTGTCTCAAAAGAAGAAGCAGCAAAATAAAAAGGGGCTGGGGTTGTGTGTGGCTCAGTGGTAGAGCCCTTGCTTAGGACTTGAAAAGCCCTGGGTTCTATCCCCAGTAGTAAAAAAACAAAACAAAACAGATGTAATGAAGCTAAAGAACCCCAAGAGAATAACAAGTAATAAGGGAACTGGGAGTTGTTTGAAGATAGAATAAAAAGACTGCAAGGGAGCTGGAGATTTAGCTCAGTGGTGCTGCTGCCTACCTCAAAAGTGCGATGTCCTGAGTTTGATCCCCCAACCAAAAGAACAACAAACAAACAAAAAAGACTGCAGGGTCTGGAATGTAGTTCAGAGGTACTGTACTGACTGGCAAGCACAAGGTCCTGAGTTCAATTCCCAGTACAGAGAAAACAAACAAACTGCAGCTACTTGATATGGAAAAGGATACAATAAAATGTATATACAAAAAAAATGTATACACAGTACTGCTGGGCATGGCGGTTCATGCCTGTAATCCCAGCACTTGGGAGGCTGAGGTGGGAGGATCGCCATGAGTTTGAGGCCACCCTGCGGTAAGCAGTGAGTTCAGGGCCAACCTGAACTACAAAGGCAGACCCTGCCTCCAAAAACCAAACCAAACCAAACCAAACCAAACCAAACCAAACCACATTTTCTGGTGTGAAAAACCAAAAGTGGAAATAAGGACTAAAATCTACAACAGACATTGGGAAATGAGAAAATGTTCAAATGAGAAGGGGAACAAGGGAGGGGGAGGGGAAAAGGAAGAAGGGACAAGAAAAAAAAATCGAAGGAAAGAATGAAAACAAAGCTTTTGTATATAGGGTGATTGTTCAAATGAGAAGGGGAACAAGGGAGGGGGAGGGGAAAAGGAAGAAGGGACAAGAAAAAAAATCGAAGGAAAGAATGAAAACAAAGCTTTTGTATATAGGGTGGGGAGGGAATGGGGGAAAAAGAAGCAGGATATATCATGTATATATCATGTACTGGTACAAACTCCCTATGATGAATGTTATTACTATGTATATCTAAAATGTTCCAGTAAATGTTTGACCCCACTCCCCTGCAAGTATGAACTGCAGTCATTACAGATTATTAAAGGAAACGAGGCAGTTTGGAAGAATTCAATGTGTGCCACACTCTTTTAAGGACTTTACATTTTACTGTTTTGGTTTTCTTTTTCTTCTGTTTTTTTGAGACAGGGTCTCTCTATGTAGTAGAGCCTGGCCTTGAACTCACTATATAGTCTAAGCTGGCCTAGAACTCATGGTGATCTTCCTGCCTGGTTCACCCCAGTGCTGGGATTACAAGTGTGTGCTACCATGCCCCCTGCTTTTACGATGTATAGTCTATGCTGGTCTGGAACTTATTAAGTAGGCCAGAATGGCCTTGAACTTGTGGTGGGGATCCTCCTGCTTTATAGTCTGCAGAGTACTGGGATTACAGGTATGAGTCAACATACCTGGCAAGACTTCATTTTAGACTGTTATCATAATCACCCATTGAGATAAGATACTTTATCTCCACTTTATTTATTTATTGTTTTTTGGAGACAGGGTCTCACTGTGTAGTTGAGACTGACCTGGAACTCACTATGTAGCCCAGGCTGGACTCGAACTCACAGTGATTCTCCTGCCTCAGCCTCCGGAGTGCTGGGATTACAGGCGTGGGACACCATGCCCAACTTGTCTCCACTTTAAAGATTAAAAAATTGAGACAGAGATTAATTTAGGGTTTTACAGCAAATGGTAGAGTTGGATTGCTGACACTAAAGAGGATGATCATACATTTCTCTATTATGTCCCTTGGTTGGATGAAGCAGTTTTATGCCAATGTAGCCACTTTTATATAAATTTTGAGGTCAGTTTCAGTCTTCAAATTATATCTAAGACAAACATAAGAGTAAAGCCTGAGACTTCCGAAAACAAAAACTTAGGGAAACGGCATAGTTGGAAACGCACAAAATTTTGAGTTTTAAGAACTGAAGTTATAGGGCCAGGGATTTAGCTCAACGGCACCGTGCCTGCCTCACAAGTGCAAGGTACTAAGTTCAATCCCCAGTACCGCAAACAAACAAATAAAACAAAAAGTAACTCTGAAGAACTGAAGTCACTAACAAAAGCTATCCTGGGTAAAAAGAGCAAAGTGAGAGCGATCACAATCCCAGACCTGAAGTTATACTACAGTTACTGTGATAAAAGCAGCATGGGGGGCAGGGATTTAGCTCAGTGGTTCTGCCAATTGCCTCACAAGTGCAAGGACCTGAATTTGATCCCCGTACCAAAAAACAAAACAAAACAAAAAAGCAGCACGGTATTGGCATAAAAACAAACACAAGGATTAATGGAAAAGAACAGAGGATGTAGAAACTACCCCACACACATTCAGCCACATTGTCTTTGACAAAGGAGCCAAACATTTACACTGGAAGAAAGATAGCCTCCTTAAAAGCGGCGTTAGGAAAACTGGCTACCCACATGCATAAAATTGAATCTAGACCTATATCTCTCAGCAAGTACTAAACTAAAAGCAAAATTGATTAAAAAAAAATATCAAGGAACTAAATGTTAAACCAGAAACTTTTTTTGTACTAGGGATCAAATTCAGGACCTTCCACTTGCGAGGCAGGCAGTGGCACCCTGAGCTAAATCCCCAGCCCATTAGCTTCTCAGTTAACTTTTTTTCTTCTTCTTGGTACTAGGGACTGAACTCAGGACCTTGTGATTGGGAGGAAGGCACAGCTCCACTGATCTAAACCCCTAGCCCCCAGAAACTCTGAACCTCATGTAAGACTAGATAGATAGGTGAGTCTCTGTAAGTCACAGGCATAGGCAAGGACTTTCTGAACAGAACTCCAGCTGCACAGAAAACAGTTGAGAATCATCAAATGGGATCACATTAAATTAAAATGCTTCTGTGCAGTGAAAAAAACAATTGAGAGTTGCTGGGCATGGTAGCATTTTCCTGTAATCCCAAAACTTGACAGGCTGAGGCAGAAGGATCACCATAAATTTGAGGCCTGGACTACATATTGAGTTCAAGGCCAGTCTGAACTACACAGTCCCGTCTCAAAACAAAACAAAACAAAACAAAAAAAACAACCTGGGCTCCCCAGGCCATCCGCAGTGGCGGTGGATGTTATGAGCAGCTCCCTGCTCTGGCTTGAGAGATGGTTCTGGTTTGGAGTACGCCCTCAGTTCCCTGCCGGGCTGTGGCTGGAAGGGACAGGAAGGAACAAGGTGCTCCCAGCTTCTGTTCAGTCACTGAGGAGCACCCCGCCCCCCTGCCCCGGGCCAATGGGTCAGGTGAGGCCAGGGCAGACAAGAGCCAGATGTCCTGGTCACCTCTAGCTCCAGTTTTTCCAGAGAGTGACAAGTAGTTACAAGTCCCTTGATGCCTTCCCTTAGGAATTGGCAATATGCACCAAGAAAATGCTTCTACAAGAAAAACAATCGAGATTCACATACAGATATCTTCATACTGGTTACCAGAATTGAAAGAGAAGTTGGAGATGTCCATCCATTCATCTACTTTAGAAATCCTAACAGAAAATGAAGCCCTATTCTGAAATGAGTTATTTTGCTCAGGATATTTCATTTCTGCACAGGACACAGTTGAAACAGAGGCAGAGCAGGAAAGACGACAAAAGAGAAATTTAAGTGATAGGAAGAGAAATGGAAAGACACAGCACAAGAAGAATATCCAGGAGGGCCGGGGATTTAGCTCAGCAGTTCAGTGGCCTGCCTTGTAAGCAACAAGGACCAGAGTTCAATCCCCAGTACAAAAAAAAAAGAAGACTATCCATCAGAAAGAGACCAAGATAGATTTAGTTACAGAAAGGGCCAAGACCCACCCTCAGTCACAGGAGAATAGATACAGAGATACAGGTCCTGCAAGTGGCGCTCACAAAAGCTCAAACAGGAGGAAAAGGTAGGAACACACAGGGAAAGATGGAATGAGGCATACAAGGAGAAAGAAAACAACAGCCTTTCATAGGACAATATTTCCTTTAGGCTAGCACCAAGAAAAGCCATTTAAAGAAATGTGGCACAGCCAGGCATAGTGGTGCTTGCTTGTAATCCCAGCTACTTAGGAGGCTGAGATAGGAGGGTCATAAGTTCAGCCAGGCATGGTGGCACGTGCCTGTAATTATAGCATTTGGAAGACTAGGACGATCACTGTGAGTTTAAGGCCAGCCTAAACTACATAACAAGACCCTGTCTCAAAAAACACAAAACAAATAAACAAAAAGTAAAACTTAAAAGTTGGAGGCCAGCCCGGACAATTTAGTGAGACCATCTCACTACAACATTACAACAATCTCCACTACCACATTAAAGGGGGGGTATGGTGGTGCACGCCTGTAATCCTGACACTCAGGAGGCAGAGGCAGGAGGATCACTTCGAGTTTGATGCCAGCCTGGGCTACATAGTGAGTTCAAGCCCAGCCTGAACTACATAGTGAGACCCTGTCTCAAAAAACAACCAACCAAATTATATACATACAAACAAATGATTTCTCCACCTGCCTCACAACATGGCTGGGAGAACTGAGATAATATTTTCAAAAATATAAATTAAATCACATGCTGGACATTAAAGAAAAAAACAACAACAAAAAAAAACCCCAAGAGCGAAAACAAATTACTGAATGGGAAAAACTTTTTTGCCAGTGATTCCTCAGAGGACTCATTTAATTTAGAATATATAAAGAATTCAAGCTGAGTGTGGTGGCTCATGCCTGTAATCCCAGCACTCTGGAGGCTGAGGCAGGAGGATCGCTGTGAGTTCGAGACCAGCCTGGGCTACATAGTGAGTTCCAGGTCAGTCTCAACTACATATCAAACAAACAAACAAAAATAAAAAAATGGCTGGGGATGTAGCTAAATGCAAATGCCCTGGTTTAATCCCCAGTGCTGGGGAGGAGCTGTAGGTCGGGGAGGGTAGGGAGAACTGAACTGTTCCCAGCACTGACACAATTTGTTTCATGACTTTGAACAACTCATTTTAACCTCTTGGGATATTATTTTCTCATCTGAGCAACAGGAGCTTTTGTACTGTGATTTCTAGGTCCTTCTTTTCTAAGTCCAATTCTTTTTTTTTTTTTTTTGTATTTTTTGGTACTGGGGATTGAAGGCAGGACCTTGTACTTACAAGGCAAGACAGGCACCACTGAGCTAAATCCCCAGCCCCTTTGTTTTGTTTTTTGAGCCTGGGTCACACTATGTGGTCCAGGCTGGTCTCAAACTCATGGCAATCCTCCTGCCTCAGCTTCATAAATGCCGGGATTATAGGCATGCACCACCACTCTGGGTTTAAATTGTTACCAATTCTAATTTAAACAACGAACCTCTCAAACCTAACTGAAAGAACATTAACATAGCAGATTTATTTATTTATTCATTCATTCATTCATTCATTCATTTATTTATTTATTTATTTTTTATTTGAGACAGGGTCTCACTATGTAGTTGAGACTGACCTGGAACTCACTATGTATCCCAGGCCGGGCTCAACTCACAGATCCTCCTGCCTCAGCCTCCTGAGTGCTAGGATTATAGGCGTGCCCCACCAAGCCCAGCATAATAGCAGAAACTTTAACTGACAATAAAAAAAATAATTTAGGTACTACCTAGAAGAGCAGTCTTCAGTCTTTATTGCTAGAGATGTATTCGCACCTTAATGATGTGCTTGCTAAAACAAAAAATAACTTAATTTTCCTACTCCCTTTACATATTGTACCTGTTTTAGGATGAACACTAAAAGGGCTCTTCAGTAAATGATTGATTCCTTTGCTAACATTAATATCCAGCCGTGGAAAACAGTATTGCAGCATAATCTCCCACTCCAGCCAGGGTCCACACTTGTCATTTTTGATATTCTAGAAGCAGATGCAAGTCCAGTGTGAGGATTAGTAGGAACTTCTCAGTAGTTCTTTGTTTTTATTCATTGTATTAAATACAAGCAGATGATTTATTTGAAGGTGGGGAAAGGAGAAGAAAGAGAGGGGGAGAGAGCGGGGGAGAGAGAGAGAGAGCAAGAGAGAGAGAGCGAGAAAGCTATTCTGGAGGAGCAGCGAGTATGTGAAAAGGAAATATTCCAAGCATGTCTTTAAAGAAAGTTAAAAAGTGACCTTCAATCATCTTTAACCGATCAAACAAAACAATTAGAACTCAATTAAAAAGTACATTGTAATCACAGATATCAAGGAATATACCTGACTTGTGCTGGTTATTCTTCTCAGATGCTCCCAACGCTGAAGTGAGCTCTGAGACCTCTGGAAGCATGTTTGGAGTTCTTCGTGAATTGGTGATGCGACATTAAGGAACACATTCATTTAGAGCACATCAACAAACAACTTAGTTTTTAGTATCACCACAAGGATATACAAAGCTTGCATGTATATGTATATATTTTGTTGTTTTGTTTTTTGAGACAGGGTCTGCTATGCAGTTCAGGTTGACCTTGAACTCACTATGTAGCCCCGTCTGGCCTCAATCTCAGAGCAATCCTCCTGCCTCAGCCTCCTGAATGCTGGGATTATGGACATGTGTCAGCATGCCCAGCTTCATTTCTTATGGCATTCTAGATTAGAGATGCAAAAGTGGAGAAATACAAAAGGTATTTTGTAGCCGGGTGTGGTGGCACTTGCTTGCTGTTCCAGGACTCAGGAGGCTGAGGCAGGAGGATCACTGTGAGTTCCAGGTCAGCTTGGGTTACCCAATGAGTTCAGGTCAGCCTGAACTACACTGCCAAGATCCTATCTAGTTTCTTTCTTGTTTTCCCCCTTTGGTTTTTTGAGACAGGGTCTCACTATGTAGTTGAGACCTAGAACTCACTATGCAGCCCAGGCTGGTTTTGAACTCACAGTGATACTCCTGCCTCAGCCTCCGGAGTGCTGGGATTACAGGCATGCACCACCACACCCAGCTCCAAAACTCTCTCTCTCTAAAAAAAAAAAAAGAAAAAAAAAAGATTAAATTTACATGTAAGCACATTTGATATTACATATCAATATAACTTGCTCAGATAGGAATGGTTTCAGAAAAGGATATTCTCAGGAAGAAGGGCTAAAATCTTATCCCAGCTTTCTTTATTTTCAAGAATATCTTGATCAACCAAGGCATATTCTTCAAAGTATTTTTTAATTATGTTTATAGATCTTCTGTAAGAATAACAATAACAAAGTCCCAATACTACAGACAACATATAGAACTTTAGTTATTATTGCCATTGGGTGGGAGGTTACTGCTTATTTTTTCTGAATTTCTAGAACTTAACTAGGTAAGATGGGAATAACACCCCTTTGCTAGGCTAAGAGTTGAAATAAGACACTTCAAGGGGAAAGAACCTAGCATACTAGCTGGCACAGGATTGGTATTCTAGAAATATTTACTGTTTTAATTTTTTTTTGATACCAGTGATTGAACTCAGGCCCTTGTGCTTGCGAGGCAGGTGGTGGGACTACTGAGCCAAATCCCCAGCCCACTGTTAAAAATTTTTTCCCCCAGAAATGCTTACTTCTTAAACTCTACAAACAAGAAGTTTAGCAGCATCATAAAAGTGCAACAGTGTAGAAAATAACCCAGTGTAACATATCAGTATTAGAAGGCGGGACAATCTAAAGTCTTCTGTGAATTGCTTGCTTTAACATCTGAAGTGTGCAGTGTTTGGACTTTGCAAACATACTTCACATCTACTGTGCCATTTAATCTCTGCTACAACTCTGTGAGACAGGTACAGCACATGTTCTGTCCATCATATAGATAAGGAAGCAGAGGCTTGACAATTTATCAAGTTTATACTGTGCAGCAGGATAGGGGCTCTTCTGATGGAATGCCTTTTCCACTATCCTACAGAAGTACTGAATTCAATAGAAAAAGCATGGGCTTCGGAGTTAGGCCCATGAATGCTAAATGTAACAACTGTGTGATGCCAAACAAATGATATAATCTTTCTAAAACTCACTTTCCTCATTTGTAAATGGGGTATGTTGAATAACTGTAGAAGCTATAAGGAATATTGCAGCATAAATATACATTCAACTAACTGTAGCTGTTATTATTATAAAATGCTAACCAGATGCGAAAATTGATAGCAAGACAATTTTTTTTTTAGACCCAAAGTCACACTTAGTTTCCTCTACAAGAGACAATAACATAAATCTTTTTAACAGAAATCTCAGGTCATGAGAGGCCAGACAGATCCAAAGAAGGAAGATGAAAAAAAAATTTTTTTTGGTACCAGGGATTGAACTCAGGTCCTTAACACTTTCAAGGCAGGGGGCGGAACCACTGAGCTAACCCCTGGCCCAGGAAGATGAAAATTCAATCAAGATGAAGATAAAAAATTAATCAAAAGGCACTATATGATACCACCTAATACCTATTACCCTGGTGGTAGCAGGCTAAGGAGGATTAAGCTACAGCAAATTATCTAATGTGAATGTTAGGGTTGACAAAGCAGGAAGCAAGAATTTGGGCCAAGGGGATATCTGACCAAGAAAAGGTTGAAATGGCTGTAGATAAAGCCAAACAGAAAGGAATAGGTAGAGGGGTCAGGGATTTTAGCTCAGTGGTGCTGCCGCCTGCCTCGTAAACACAAGGACCTGAGTTCAATCCCTGGTACCAAAACAAACAAATAAACAAACAAAACCCCAGAAAAGTATAGGTAGGAGAATACAAATTATATATACATAGGCATGCAAATGATGACAGGTCAGGTTTCTTCCTCCCGAGAAAGATTTGCTGTACTGTATTATCCCCCTTCCCACTTTCACAATCCCACCCAATAGCTGACAGATAGCAAGACAATTCTAAAAGCACATGCAAGCAAATCAGATACAACTTAATTGGAGTCTTTTCCAAACAGACCTGACAAAAGGGTGAATTTTTTCACTTAGATGAACTTTCTTTTTAACATCCTGGCCACCCTGCAATATAGAACATCAAAAAAGAATTTATGTATATTACATACAGAATAATTAAAAAATTTCTTTACTGTATTTTACTATTACATTTAAAAGTATACAACTTCATATATTAATTTTTCTTTTATCAAAGGAAGATACAGCAAATGTGAAATCTCTTAATGTAGCTACTATGGCTTTATTTTAAAAAATTGCTCCATTACTTTTGTAGATGAGGTCTTGCTAAGTTGCTCAGGTCATTCTCAAATTCAATGGGTCAAGTGATTTTCCTTCTTCAGTGTTCTGAATGTTGGGACTACAATCAGGTCCTACCATGCCCTGGTTGCTACTATGACTTTATATGATTATTGGTAAGATCATCTACTCTAGAATGCGAATGCTATAAAAATAGCTTAAAAAAAATTTTTTTTGTAGTCCTAGGGATCAAACTCAGGGGCACTGTATCACTAAGCTACATTCATACTTCTTTTTAATTTTATCTTGAGACAGAATATTACAAAATTGCCCAGGCTGGCCTGGAGTTTGTGCTCTTTCTGCTTCAGACTCCCAAGTAGCTGGAATTCAGGCATGGGCCACCATGCCTGGCTTTTGTTTTATTTTGAGACAGACAGATCTTGCTGTGTTGCCCAGGATCATCTCAAATTTGTGATTCTCCCCCCTTAGCTTCCCAAGCATCTGGGATTACAGGTGCGTATCATCGACTCCAGCAAGACAGCTTAAAAAAAAAATTTTTTTTTTTTTGTACCGGGGATCGAAGCTGGGTCTTTGTGCTTGTGAGGCAGGCAGTAGAACAACTGAGCTAAATCCCAGGCCCCAACAGCTTAAATTTTTGTTATTAAGCAAGCCAGGGTTGCTATCAGCTAGGAAATAAAGCAATGTAAATAAGAAGTCCTTACCTTTACAAGACTCAAATACTCAACTATACCAGAACGTACTGTTGAGGACAATTTCCTAACTGATTCATCACAGACCCAACAATGAACACCTCTCCTTCCAGAAAAAACCCACAGACGATGCTTAAATCCAAAGTCCTCTGCGGAGGGGAGAAATAAATAGGTTTTAAGAAAATGTGTAAGCTCTTAGTTCTTGCTTACTTCCTTAGCTTCATTTTTTATCTGTTCACACATGCTTTCACGTAAACCATACTAAATTACCTATTTATTGTGCCTCTCATATTTTTGCTTTAATGTCTTTATCCCATTCTTATCTTCTGGCCAAACATTTCTTTATGCTCAGCACTTTCATTTGTCCCTGACCACTGGTGATTTATCCTTGAAAATAATCTAGGAATACTAGAGAGTTAATATTTTTAAAGTATTTAGAACAGTGCCTGGCACATAATAAACTCTCTATGTAAGAGTTAGCTACCATTATCACTATCACCACCTCTTCTACAAAGCTTTTTATAACTCAATTATTCTGTTCCCATTCTTTTTTTTTTTTTTTGGCACTAGGGATTAAAACTAGGACTTTTGGACTAAACTCATGCCTAGTGCTCTCCTGCCCCTTGAACTTTTGCAACACGGTCTTGCTTAGTTGCCAAGGTTGGGTTTGAATTTGTGATCCTCTTGCCTCAGCCTCCTACAGTGCTGGAATTACAGCTGTCCACCACCACACCTGGCTGTGCCCATTCCTATATGCATCTTGGTGTTCTACAACCCCATAGGTCCCTATGTGTATTACTTCATAAATGTAGACTGTGTAACCTACTTGCAGTAAGAATTGTTATCTTTTACACTTCCCTCATTTAGAACAGTACTTAACAGAGTTGCTCAATAGAGGACTGAATTGGGAGAAAATACAACGGTTTGTTCAACAGCTATATTAAAGTTTCCACTACAATTTTATTTGTTCTTTGGAGGTAATAGGGATTGAACCCAGGGACTTTGGACTGAGTTACATTTCTAGCCCTTTTGTAAATTCTCATGAAGTTGCTAATTTGCCTACCTAGACTTTCACAACTTGTGATTTTCCTGCCTCAACTCCCAGAGTCTCGGAATTACAGACATATGTCATTTACTACAACTTTGTTTTATTTAATTTATTTTCCTCTCAAATGTTTCGAGGAGACATATTAGAAATATGTGAGCTCTGACTTTAAAACACAGAGACTAATGTTCAGAGAAGAGATTCTTACATTTGACCCCACTTAGATACTACCAATACTTGCCCTTCAGTGCTCGGTCAATGATGCGTATGGCCATTGTCATGAGAGTCCAGCACTTGGAGCATATGTCTGCAGAGCTGGAACAGAGGCACCATTACTCACTGTCACCGATACCTTCCACCCCAACAGCAAGGCACACGGTCCTTACCCACAGCATCTTCTCACATCATCATAGTCTGTCATGTCAATGTCAAACACCAGTTCTTTCTCCTGAGCCTGGAAGGCTCCCAGCTTCACTGCATTGTGTTGACTGGGCTATAAATATAAAATATCGATTAGTTTTTAAAGAAGCTGGTATATTGTTAAGATTTCTGATTTTCTTTTTTGGTACTGGGGATCTAACTCAGGACTTTGAGCTTGCAAGGCAGGTACAGTGACACTGAGCTAAATCCCCGGCTCTAAAATCGCTTATTTTCTACTCACATGTTAAAAGGGACCAAAGAAAAACAAAAACTATATAATGACAAGCGTATGTCAGTTAAAGTTCATTACTTTGGAGCCCACACATTCAGAACTGATGACAGTTTTAATTTTTATCTTTTTAAAACAGTACGATGAGCTGGGCATGGTGGCGCTTGCCTGTAATCCCAGCACTCAGGAGGCTGAGGCAGGAGGATTGCTGTGAGTTTGAGACCAGCCTGGGCTACATAGTGAGTTCCAGGTCAGTCTCAACTACATAGTGAGACCCTGTCTCAAAAAATCCGAAACAAACAAACAAACAAAAACCAAAACAAAACAGTATGATGAGTATATGGCCACTATAAATATGTGTTGATTGATAAAAACAATAAAATTATTTTTAGGTTTCTGATAAGGAAAAGTCCATACAACGTCCTATTGCAAGTTGTTTTAAAGACCTTTCCTTATTACTATACATATGGTACAACAAATATGTACTTATTTAAAAATTTTCAATGATTTAAAAAGATCTTCCCAATTACTTAGGAGTGAGACCTTATTACTGTTGTTATTTTCCCTCTTGAGACAAAAGTCTCATTATGTAGTCCAGGCTGGCCCTGAACTCACTATGTAGCCCAGGATGGCCTCAAATTTGCAGCAACCCTCCTGCCTCAGCCTCCTGAGTGCTGGGATTATGGGCATGCACCACCATGCCAGCCTGAGATCTTATTATTAAGAGGCTATAATCTTCCAAGTAAAGAAAATGGACGGACTGTGGCTATTTCATTTGCTTCCTCCAAACTCACAAAAAAAGCTTTTTTTTTTGGGTGGTGGTACTAGAAATTAAACCCAGAGCTTTTGCACTGAACTACAGACCTATTTATTTACTCGTTTTTGAGGCAGGTCTTGTTATGTAGTTCAGGCTGGCCTTGACTTGCTGAGCCTCCTGCCTCATCCTCCAAAATGCTGGGATTACAGGTGAGCACCACCAGACTTTTTTATTTTGAGAAAGGGTCTTGCTAATGCACTAAACTGCCCAAGCTAGACTTAAACTTTCAATTTTCCTGCTTTAGCATCTCAGAGTGCTGTGATTACAGGGGTGTACCACCATGTCGGGCTCCGACTGTAACTTTTTATTTATTTATTTTTTACTTATTGTTTTGAGACAGGGTCTTGCTATGTAGCCCAGGCTGTCCTTGAACTTGTGACAATTCTCCTGCCTCAGCCTCTTCAGCACTGGGATTACAGCATTATTATGCCACCATGCCTAATAACTCTAATATTTAATCTGATAAAAACTATCATAAGAGCATGTAGACTGTACTTTTGGGGAGGGCTAAATCCTCATGTGCCAGAGTAGAACATCAGTAGACATTGCTTCCAATGGAAAATTGAAAGAAATATAAGCCTGTTACTTAGAGAAAAGGAAGTAGGTACCATGAGAAACAGATAAAAGAAACTGACTGCTTTTGGGTAGCAGGAAATGAAGAGGTACAATATTTGATTTTTAGCCTAACAGAAGTATTTGCTTTTTATAAACTCTACGTGCATATATAACTGACAAAAATCACATAGAAAACACAAAAAGACAAGTCTATAGATGACTCTGTCTTGAACCACTTAAAAAGAAAAAAAATGGCTGCGTGTAGTGGTGCATGCCTGTAATCCCTGCACTCTGGGAAGCTAAGGCAGGAGAATTACAAGTTTGAGCCTAGCCTGGGCAACTTAGTGCGATCCTGTCTCAAAAGAAAAAAAGTCTGGGAGTGTAGCTCAGTATGAATGCCCCGGGTTCAAACCACAGCAACATGATACACACAAAGAGACTTTAGACTTTTTTCTTCTCTCAGTATTAGGAAAAAGAAAGTAGAGTGGTATGCTGGTCTTTCTTTAGTTTTATCTAACCTCTACAGAGGAATAAATTTCAAAGCACTTTTCTTACTTTTCTCCTTACCTTGAGGATAGTAGATAAGTCTGGGGTTGGGTCAGAAAAATTGGAATCAAGTCCTACCTGTATTTGGAAATTTTGTGATTTTGGGCCAACTATTTAAGTTCTCCAGGCCTTTTTTCTTCTTTGTAAAAAGAATGAGGCTTGATAGGAGGAACAAGTTATATACAATATGAAAACTCCATCCAAAACTGGTTTGTTCATTCATTCAACAAATATTTATGTGTACTTTCTCTTCCAGGAACTATATTAGGCACTTAGGATATACCAGTGGCAGGGGTCAGAGGAGCAGCAGGTTGTTCTAGTGCTACTTGAGTAAAGACTTGAAAGAAGGAAGGGAATGAATCAAGTAGATAACTGGGGAAATGGATTTTAGGCTGTAAAACAGTCCAAGCAATGCAAAGTGTGACATGAGTAGAGCAAATGAGGAGAACTAAAGAGTTTTGAGTATGAGTGACAGGGGACATTATAGTTTTGAGCAGAGGAATCACGAATCTAAATTGCTTCAAAAGGATCCCTTTGGCTGCTGTGTTGAGAATGGACTCCAGTCTACAGCACAAACTGTTGGCTTCTCACATTAATTCAGATGAGAGATGGCGGTGGTAGCACAGGCAATAGCAGCTGGACTGGACTTTATAATACAGCCAAAGGGATTTTTTCTGGTACTAGAGCTCAAACCCAGGATCTAGTGCAAGGCAGGTGCAGGCTGGCCTCCAACTCATGGTGGTTCTCCTGCCTCAGCTTCCTGATTGCTGAGATTGTAGGTGTGTGTCACCATGCTCAGCTTCAATTTTTTTTGAACTACCGAGAATGTAACCAATTTACTTCCAAATGATTTCCAGTATTGTGTCAAAGAACAAAAATGATTACAATACACTTGTTTAAAAATGAGGATTTTCAACTACAATAAATTCTGGGGGCACCAATGCTTGATTCATAAAACAAAACAAAAGACATACACAAAAAGACTTCTTACTCTGTGGGAATATACTGCGCCTATATCAATCTTGTATGGATTCATTTTCTGTATTTCCTTTTCCAGATCACTCTGATTGTTGAAGGATTGGTAGCGAATGTAAATGTCATCTTTCAATGTGAATGAAAATTCGCGGTTTTGAAAGTAATTCTTTACCACTGCAAAATAAGTATGCATTTTAGAATATTGTACTTCATTCAGCATAGGGCATTATAACACTAGCCAATGGGAGATTTTTAAAAATGAATCCCTGTGTTCAACACTGTTCTAGATATGAAAAGAGAGAACCTAGTCCTAAATTTTAAGTTTTCCATTCCACATTTGCTAAGAAAAAGTAATAATGAGAAGAAAGATGAGTAAGTATTATAAATGCGCAATGCCACCTTTCTCTTTGGCAGGCACTAAAAAATTCAGCTGTGAGGATGAAAGTACCTCTTTTTCTTCTCTGACCCTGATGCATATCAAGCCTTTGAAGGTTTCTGCCAGGACCAAGTTAACCAATTAACCGACGTTCATTAGGTTCACGCTCAGCCTTTTACACCAGTGAGGTGGTGGGCATGATGAAATGCTGGGCGCGGTGGCACACGCCTGTGATCCCAGCTACTCGGGAGGCTGAGGCACGAGGATCCTAAATTTGAGAACAACCTGGGCCACTGTCTCAAAAATAAAACAATAGAAACGGTTGGGAATGTAGCTCAATAGAAGAGTGCTTCCTTAGTACGTGCGAGACCTTGGGTTTCATCCCCAGCACTAAACACAAAACAGGGCACTGAGGCACCCGCCAGTTCCCAGAGACCAGGAGGTACCGGACACTGTCTAGGTACGCCCTGCCTGGAAAGTCCTCACTTTGCTCCAGGCCCACTATCCATCCCGCCCCCAGCCTCCATCACCTCCGCCGTAGTTGAGCCAGCGATAGTACTGGGAGTAGGGGAAGAGCCTTCGGTAATACAGCTTGAGCAGCTCGGGCAGCTCCGCAGGATCAAAGGACTCCATTATCTCGGAACCTCTAGTCAGTAACACCGCAAGAATTGGCGGGAACCACGCAGCCGGAGGTCCCGCTAGTACGCAGGCGCGTTGAAGCCGCGGCTGGCGTCTGCCGGGGTCTCTGGGTATTGTAGTTCCCACAGCCTGCTGGAGTCGCCGTCCCCGCCCACCGGCCGGGACAAGGGGAGGTTCAACCGCAGCTTTCGGGTCCTAGAGGCCAAATCCTCTCTAGAAAGTGTCTCCGGGAAGGTGAAACCCTTGGATGTTGATTTAGGTTATCAAGACACATTTAAAAATATGTCCTATGCAAACTATGAATGTTCTAGAAAAAAACACCAATATCTTTAAAAATAGGAGGCGATGCATGTCTATAATCCCAGCCCTTGGAACTGAGGAAGATCACAAATTCGAGCCCAGCCTGGGCAACTCAGCGAGACCCTGCAAATAAAAAGGCCAGGGGATGTAGCACAGTGGGAAGCCCTGGCTTCAGTCCCTGTTTAGAGAGTCTCTAGTAAACTACTATTAGCCTAATCCTGAAAACATTCACGGTCTTCCCAACTCTTCTGGGTAAATGGTCAACAATGGGCTTCAGGCAAAACATTATTTGAAAATCCCCGGACACCCTATGTAGAATTTAGTTGGTTTTCCCAACCTCTATGCATCACCCGGTTTTGGATTCGGTGAATTTCATTGCTGGCAGGATTCTCATTCCAACTATAGTAACAGCTTTGCTTTGCAGAGTGTTGTTGTCCAGAACCGCATCGCTACTAGCTTCTACTTTTTTTTTTGTTTCATTCTCCCCGCCCCCGCCCTTCTTTTTGCGGTACTTGGGATTGACTCTAGGGCCTTAGCACTGAGCAACATCCCCAGCCCTTTAAACGCTTTATTTTTTTTTATTTTCAGGCAAGGAGTTACCAAACTGCTAGTGAGGACCAAGTTTCCAGGTCACGGTGGGCTCCATTCCCCTTACCCAGAATAGAGTAAATGCAAAAGTTCCTTTCTGAAAAATTCCATTCTATGTGGCAGTTTCTCTGTGCTTCTGTTCCTCTTTTAGGGCAAGTTCCTCTTTTAAGATGTTAAGATAAGCTTCTTTGTGTGTGACTTATTAATATAGGAATTAGTTATAGCTGATATAGGAACTAATTATAGTTGATATAGAAGCTTCTTTTTGTGTGATCTAATCAATATAGGAATTAGTTATAGCTGATATAGGAATTAATTATAATTGACATAGTTATATATCTTAGCAAAAAAAATCAGATGATCTAATGAAAAGAGGAACTAATTCTTTAAATGAAGGCATTAGGTAACTTTCCAATATGTACCCTCCCAGTACCCCTGATGATTTTGCAAATATAAGCATTAGGTAATGTTCCAATGTGCCCTCCCGGTGCCCCTTGATTGTCCCATGATAAGAGAGAACTAAATATAGCAATTATAAGCAGAAAAATCCTATATAAACCCACTTCAAAAATGGATCTGGGCTCTCAGTCTGAAGCCACTGTGACGGTGAGACCTGAGAGTCCAGGCTCGAGCTTGTAATAAACTCCTCTTGCAATTGCATCGGGCATGACTCCTTGATGGTCTTTGGGGACTTTGTGACTTGGGCACAACACTAGTTTGCCTGGGCTGGGCTCAAATTTGGGATACTCCTGTGTCAGTCTTCCACAGGCACGTCCCCCTCCCTCCAAGTTTCTTAGCTTCCTTTTTGCTGCCTTTAGTAACTGACTTCTTTGATTCTTCCAATTCCAGGCTGGTAAGGAGGGGAGGACTTTAAGGAGCTAAGATAAGGGGAGAAAGCAAAGGAAATTATACATAGCATGCCAGTTGCTGAAGCAAGAGTTTTGCAAAAGAGGGTTTATTTATGTAAGAAACGATGGCTGTGTCTTTTCTATCAAACAGGAGTACCTCCATTTTGGACTCTAGTCCACCCTAGGTGGCTCCTCCTGAACACATCAAGTTACCAGAAATGCCTGCTCAGTTTAGACTCAGGGAACACAGCTAACAGGTAAAGATAACTTACCAACAGCCAAGGACTTTCAGTGCCCCATTCTTCCCCTACCCCACTCCCTTAACTACCCTGCACAGAAACCCTTCATGCTTAAACTAGCCAGTCAGGATAGATTGTAAACCTTCAACTGACCAATGGGGGAAAAGGTCAGCTGCTTCTCCTGTATTAGAGATAAAAGAGGCAACCCTCTTTTGTCCTGTGCACCTGCTACCTCATTGCTGGTGTATGCTTGCACCCTTTTGCAAAAGTAAAAAGCCTTGTTGAGATTTCTTGGTGTCTGAGTGCTTCTGTTCTGTATCTGCATCAACAAATTGAATCTGGTGGCTTATTTCCAACATTAACAAGACTGACAGGAGGAGATGGGAGCACTATTGCAAATCCACTTGCTGAGGAAGATACTGTTTAGGGTTGTTTATGGAATTAAGAGACCATTGGTGCAATTAGTTCAATCCCCGGTATCAAAAAACAAACAAACAAAAAACCAAGAAACCATTGTCTGGCAAGATTGGTGTTAAGAGCAAGTTACTAAAAACAATAAATTGTGAGATGGCTTATTCAGGTTCCACCTTGGTTTCCTTTCTACTCTGTATGGTTGCTGAATGTTTGTGCTTTCACAGACTTTCTGTTTTGAAACCTAATCACCACCATGGTAGTATTAGGAGGCGGGTGTGGGGCACCACTTCTGCCTATTCTCAAAGCCCGGGCATCTCAGGACACTTAAGAACATCTGAGGGACATGCGCATAACAGGCCATGGATCTAAGAATGATTAACATACTTCACTATACATGTGCAACATGGACAAGGTCATGCAACAGGTGTTTAGTTTCTCCATGTCTCAGTCCACTGTTAAGATGCTATAACTCCTGTGAGCTAAAGAACACTGTAACCTTTTGGTAGTTGTGTTTGCTATGTAGCTGTCTTTGCTGCTTTGTTTTTCTTTTTGGTACCGGGGATCAAACTTGGGACCTTGTGCTTGCGAGACAGGTAGAGGAACCACTGAGCTAAATCCCTGGCCCTGTCTTTGCTGTTTTGCTGAGCGAATAGAGACCTGCAGCTCCTGAGCTCTGGAGCTGCAGCTCCAACTTTCATGTGCTGATGCCGCTCTGATGTTGATGACTGACTCTCTGCATGTGTTGTTCTTATTGGGGAATTAATTAACTCACTTGCAAAGGACGAGGTAAACGGACACCTCTTCAGGTGTCTCCTGAGGAGGTTGAGCCTCAGCCCTCACAGGAAGAGCACTTGGGACTTTATCAGCTCATGAAGTCTTTACTCTCATGAACAGGATAAGAGCCCCCATGAGTCCCAGAGAGTTGCCTTCTCCTTTCACAGGTGAGAAAACAGCTAGGAAGGACCATCTAGGAACTAGGAAGCAGTTCAGTGACAACTGAACCTGCCAATACAGTTTTCTTGGGCTCCCAGGCTGCAAAACTATGAGAAATAGATTTTTTTCCCTCTTAGATTTATTTTTTAACTGCCACACAGAACACAAAAATATATATATTTCTGGGGCACTGTGTGGTCTCAGTGCAGGTACACACATGACATTTATAGCATGTTGGACACAGCTGTCCCTCATTTATCATTTCTTTATGTAGCTCATTGCAAAGGTCCTGGGTTCATTTCCCAGGACAGGAAAAAGAAAAAAAATTATATCTATGTTATATCCATGCTGACAAATATGTTCAACACCATATGCAAAGTATTATTAGTACCAAAAACAAAACAAAACAAAACAAACCTGGCATGTAAAGGTACAAGATCCCAGACTCTACTGTAGACTCTACTGTCTACCTAGAATGTACCAATAAATTAAATAATAAAAAAAACAACAACAAAACAAACAAGCAGCAGCCAAGCACGGTGGCTGCACTCCTGTGGTCAAGGAGTTCAAGCTTAGTCTGGTAACAGTGAGACCGAATCTCAAAACACAACAAAAAAGTATAACCTTAACACGGGAAAAATATTTACACTGTAACAATCAAATCTTTGCATTTCTAATGCAGACGACTAAATCCCAAAGTAATACATTAGAAAACTACTAGGGAACTCCAGACCTGTTCCCATTAACATTGTAAATAAGTCAGAAATGCTCTCTTATTATTGCTATTTCTTGCTATCCTGAAAACTTTTAGACGGAAAGGACATGGGTGTGGGGGTGCACCTCAGTGAAGAACTTGCCTAATATGGACTAGGTCCTAGGTTCGAAACCACAGCACCACACACAAAGATTTTTGTTGCTTTTAGGCCATCTTATTCATGGTCTTTAGTTACAGTAGCCAGAATGGACTAAGACAATGTTTGACTTATTTAACATTAGTTTTCTTACCAGGAAAAAGGGAATAATAATAGTTAAAAGTTATTTAGCTTTTGTCTTGACATTAGTTACTGTTTTAAATGTTTATTCTCTGTAAGAACTCTGTGTGGTAGGTACTAACATCACCTCCTATTTTTCAGATGGGGAAATAGCTAAGAATTTAAGCAATTTGTGTAAGGTCACTCAGCTAATCTGTGGGAGAGGCTTTATTTGGATAATCTAACAGTGTGCAGAGTCTGTGTGTTTAATTCCTAAAGTAAATACTCTATATAAGCTTGCTTGTGTGTGTGTGTGTGTGTGTGCATGTGTGCGTGTGCACGTGTGCTGGGTATGAAACCCACAACTTTGAACCTGCTAGGCAAGTGCTTTTCCACTGACCTACATAACCTATATGTTTTACACTGACCCTATAAGGGGTTGCTATGGAAGTTAAAGAGACTTTAACACACACACACACACACACACACACACACACCCACACCCACACCCACACACACACTCACACCCACACACACACTCCATAGTTCAGAACCACCCAGTATGAGAAAGCTACTCCTTAC